TTGACCTGCCAGCCTTCTGGTTAGCAGTCAAGTGCTTTAGACACTATGCTACCAGAGCTCCTCAGACTGGCACTAGGTAGCCAAAACACTGCACTGGGAAAATGTGCTGCAAAAGACCTCTTTAAAGTGTTAAGGACCAAAGACATCACTTTGAAGACTAAGGTGTGCTTAACCCAAGCCAAGGTATTTTCAATCATCTCACATGCATGTGAAAGCTAGACAATGAATAAGATAGACTGAAGAAGGGTTGATACTTCTGAGTTGTGGTATTGGAGAACACTGAAAATACCAGAAGAATGGACAAATGTGTTCTGGAAGAGGTACAAGTGGAATGCTCCTTGGAATTGAGAATGGCCAGACTTCGTCTCAGTTACTTTGGTCATGTGGTCAGATGGGACCATTCCCTGGAGAAGGATGCCATGCTTGGTAAAACAGAAGGTCAGAGAAAAAGGCGAAGGCTCTCAATAAGATGGATTGACACAGTAGCTCCAATGATTGCCCTAAGTATAACAAGGATTGTGGGGATGGCACAGGACCTGGCAGTGTTGTGTCAGAGTGACTTAATGACACCAAACAACAACAGCAACAATCACAGAAATATAGCTCATTTATTTAGTTTATATATTCTTAGCACAGAACAGAAATTCTCAGACTAGACTATGTATCAGTCACCTGGGAAGCTTGATTCCCAAGCCCCATTCACAGTTCCCACCACCTGTATATCAGTTTGTCATATTGTAGTGGCTTGCATTTTGTTATGATGCTAGAAGCTAAACTGAAACCAAAAAACAAACTCACTGCTGTTGAGTCACATCCCACTCATAGTGACCTCTTGGGTTTCCAAGGCAGTATCACTACAGAAGTAGATTCCCCCATCTTCCATCCAAGGAGTGGCTATTGAATTTGAATGGCCAGCCTTCTGGTTAGTAGTCAAGTACCTTAGGCACTACACCAGCATGGTCACTCATGGTGGACAGGTTTCAGTGGAGCTTCTGGACTAAGGCCTGGCAATCTACTTCCAAAAATTAGCTAATGAAAACTTTATGGACCACAGCAGAACACTGTGTGACTCACTTGCTTTTGACATGTTATCAGGAGAGATCAATCGCTAGAGGAAGACATAATGTATGGTGAAGGAGAGGGCCAGTAAGGATGAGGGAGACCCTCAGTCAGGCTGATTGGCACAGTAGTTGCAACAATGAACTCAAACATGCTGGCAATTATGAGGATGGTGCAATGTTTCATTCTGTTGTATATGAGGTTTCCTTGAGTTGGAGCCGACTTGACAGCAGCTAACAACAACATTCAAGGTTCTGATTCAGTAGCTAAGAATGGGACCTAACAACTTAAATTTTCCACAGCCATTTCCCGGTGATTCTGAAGGAGTTATTAAGGAAGCCGTCTTTAGGGTACACTGGCTTAAGGAACTGTGGGCCATTTCGTCTAATCCCCTCAATTTAACAAATGGGAAAACAAAAGTCCTGAGAGAGAGTTAGTCTCCAAAGTCACCCAGTTAGTTGCAGAGCTAGGGCCAGCCCCTTTGTCTCCTTCTGCTTCATCTTGTTACCCCAGTGGGGGTATTACTATGTTAATAAGGAATGCAGGAGAGGGTGCATTTGGTTCAGTTCAACATCCAAGAGGAAAATCCCTATCACTTTAGGCCTGTGCGGTAAGTCCTGTAGATTCAAAATGATGAAAAAGAGGTGCAACTGGAATGCTGCTTGGAAGTGAGAATGGCCAGACTTCGTCTCAGTTACTTTGGTCATGTGGTCGGATGGGGACCATTCCCTGGAGAAGGATATCATGCTTGGTAAAACAGAAGATCAAAGAAAAAGAACTTGATGGGCTCTACTGATACACCTTAAAAGTTGAGATTTATTTTCTTTGTTTCAAGCTAAGTTTGAGAACAGTGACATCAGTAACACAGCCCTAAAAACTGATAAAATATTACATGTCCAACAAAAAATAAACTATCCCTCCTATTGCTAAAGAACATCACCTGCACTCCTCTTGGGCATTGGGTCTTTGCCTTAAGAGAACTGGGAGGTATTGAGGGTAAGGATATAGCATATGCAAATTCAAATTCAAATCCAGGGTCCTCTGGGTGCTGAGAAGAGCACAATACAACACTTGGCAGGGTATGAAATCTATTATAGGGGTGCAGAGGATTAATAAACTAATTTAGCCAGAACTAAATAGGTTAGAGGGAGCTCTGGTAGCATAGTGGCTAAGACACCCACCAGCCACTCCTCGGAAGGAAGGTTGGGCAATCCTACTTCCGTAGTGATACTGCCTCGGAAACCCAAGGAGGGGTCGCTATGAGTCGGGTTTGACTCGACGGCACATAACAGCAAATAGGTTAGAAATAATTTTAAAAGTCAGTAAGCATCAGATTGACCTATTTGCCTGATAGATTTTATTAATCCATTCATTCTTCCATTCAATATTATCCTTTTAAATTAAGTCAGAACAAAACCCTTCAGATAGCTTCCTAGCACCCTCAGAACAAAAGTAAAATCTTTTTTTTATCTTATATCACAATAATACCAACCCAAAAACCAAATTCACTGCCATCGAATCATATCTGACTCATAGTGACCCCTCCTTGGGTTTCCGAAGCAGTATCACTATGCAAGTAGATAGCTCAATCTTCCATCTGAGGAGTAGCTGCTGAGTTTGAACCACCAGCCTTCTGGTTAGCAGTCAAATGCCTTAAGCACTATGCTACCAGAGCTACTCTTATGACAATAAGTTGATCTTTAAAATATGCACCCCTGCCCTTTGTACTTACTCTCCCCTCTGTCTGGAACATTTTCATTCTAGAAGTGCTCATGGCACATCCTTCACTTTATTCCGATTGTTCCTGAAATGTTACCTTTTCAACGAGGCCCCAACTGACACCCCACAGTAGCAAATGCTGTACAACTACCTGCTTTCTTCTCTTTTATAGAAAGTATTATCCTCTGATGTCCTACATATTTTCCTCATTTATTCATTATCTGTCTCCTCTTATGGGTTGATTTATGTCCCCAAGATGATACAGTCAAGTCCTAAGCCCTGGTACCAGTGAATGTGACCTAATTTAGAAATAAAATATTTGCAGATGTAATTAGTCAAATTAACATGAGCCCCTATTGGAGTAGGGTGGGCCCTAACCCAGTATTGACAGGTATTTTTATAGAAAGAGGAGAAGGGACACAAGGAGAAAGAGATACAGAGGAAAGACGCCATGTGAAGACAGAGTCAGAAACTGAAATTATGTTGCCACCAGTCAAGAAAGGACTGGGGCCACCAAAAGGTGAAAGACACAAGGAAGAACCCTTTCCTAAGATTTCAGAGGGAGGAGTCCTATGGACACCTTGATTTCAGACCTTTAGTCTCTAGAATTGTGAGACATTAAAGTTGTTATTTAAGCCAAACACTTTGTGGTAATTTCTTACAGCAGCCATAGGAAACTAATATACCGTCGCACCCCAGTAGAATATAAACTCCTGAGAGTCAGATTTTCATCCATTCTCTTCACTGCTGTATCCCCAGTGCCCACGTCAGTGTCTGTACTGTGATGGGTCTTGCTTCATAAATATCCTGCAACACTCTCACATGCAAGTACTGTGCTAGTCACGGGGGGAAAAGGCAAACTAACACACACATAGGGCCTGGGGTCAGGGCTTGGAGTTAAGCAGAGAAGACCAATTAATCACTAAATAGAGATAAATAGACAATTAAGACTGTAATAAGAACTCTGAGAAGTTCATCGTGCTCATGAGTACATATAACTAGGGTGGGGGGGCTTTATGTAGGAGGTTTCCCCGAGGAAAGGACTGATAAATAACAGCAGCAGCAGCAGCAGCAGCAGCAGCTGTAAGTAATTGTGTGCCTACTATTTTAAACACTTTCCACACATTAATACATTTTCTCCTCAAAATAATCTGCTGGGGTATGCACTATTATTATCCCCATTTTACAAATGAAGAGATTGAGGAAGTGAGAGGTTAAGTAACTTGTTCAAAGTAGTCTCAGACCTAGGATTTGAACCCAAGCAGTCTGATTCCAAAGTCAACATTCTCAACCATTGTGTAATACAGCTTCTCAGGAAGCTGATATATGGGGGTGGGAATGAAACCCACTGCTATTGAGTCAATTTTGACTCATAATGATCCCTATTGGGTTTCCAAGGCTATAAATCTTCAGGGAGGTAGATTGCCTTATCTTTCTCCCATGGAGCAGCTGGTGGATTTGAACTGCTGACCTTTGGGTTAGTAGCTAAATGCCTTACTACCACCAGGGCTCCTTGATATATCAGAAGAATAATTAAATCCATAGAGAGTAAAGGGCATTGTAAAGTGGGGAAGAGCATGAGCAAAAGATCTGAGGAATGAGGAAAAACTGAGCAGAGAACAAGGGAAGAGGGATGAGGCTTGAAAAATAGGTAGGAAGGCAGTAAGTGGGCAGGCACATGAGATAAGAATTTCACTTTTTAATCGTCTTAAGAGCATGGTGAAAAGAGGAAGTCCCTCAAATAAATGGATTAATACAGTGAGTGCAACAATGAGTTCACACAGCAACAACTGTTGATGGCATAGGACTGAGCAAGGTTTCATTCTGTGATACATGTGGTCACTAGGAGTCAGAATCGACTTGAAGGCACCTGACAACAACAATAACAAAAGCATGGAAAAGCTAGTGAAGGGTTTTAAACAGGGCCAAGGGTGATGTGATCAGCTTTGCATTTCAAAAGGGCACCCCTGGCTGCACTGTACAGTGTGAAGAGGGAGTGAGAGGTCCAGCTGGAAATGAGGATGGTGTTAGTCTGTGGAGAATAACAGACACCTGTAATACATTTGGATTATCAACTCCAAATCATGTTTCTTTAAATCCCAGTTACCCCGTGGTTTTTTTTTTTTTTTTTGGGGGGGGGGTCCAAGCTCACCTTTTCTGACAAAGCCCCCTCTAGCGTTGCCAATGCTGTATCAGTATTACTGGAATCTGTCTGCAAGGACTTCACTCGGTCTTTCAGATTGGTCAATTGCTTGTCTTTATCCCTAAGTTGTTCTTGCAAGTTTTCAATCTGAAAATAAAGATTGCCATGTTTAATGAGTATTTTATTACATATCCAGGGTCAAAATAACTGACATAGTATCTGCTTGAAAAAAAAAAAAAAAAAAGATCTAAGATTATGGAAATTGTCAGTATTACAAGGTTCCAATTTTGACTTAGAATCAAACATATTTTGATGAGAACTTTTTCCTATTTAATTAAAACTGCACTGAAATGGTGATAAAGATGGACGGAATATCCCCCTCCATATAAATCCAGGGAGATTTGGTGGCATAGTGCCTAAAGCACTTGACTGCTTCCAGAAGGCTGGTGGTTCAAACCCACAGCCACTCCTCAGAAGGAAGGTTGGGCAATCTACTTCCATAGTAACACTGCCTCGGAAACCCAAGGAGGGGTCACTATGAGTTGGATCCGACGCAACAGCAGTGAGTTTTGAGTTTTATAAATGCAAGCCCTTTAAGACACATTAAAAAAAAAAAAAATGTAGTTGAGTTGATTCTGGCTCACAGCAACCCTTAAGTGTCAGAGTAGAATTGTGCTTCATCAAGTTTTCAATGGCTGATTTTTTGAAAAATAGATAACCAGGCCTTTCTTCCAAAGTACCCTGAACCTGCAACATTTTGGTTAGCAGCTGAATATGTTAACTGTTTCCACCCCCCAGGAACTCCATTTCAGACGCATAAACACTGCTATTTCTATCCCTTTTACTAATCCTTTAACTCTCAAGTTCATAGACCTAAACTTGACAGAGTGAACCTGAGAAACATTTGCATATGACTCATTCATTCATTAATTTATTGAACATTTATTAGCTGCCCACTCTACACCAAGCATGGTTATCAGTATACAGTTGAACCTATGTAGTCATTCACTCATTGCCCTCCTCAGATTTAAATTCTGTGATATGCCAAATGTTGTCAAGTGGCTGTTTCAAAGTAACCACATAAGAAGCCAAGTAGGTTATCATCAGTAGACTGTAATTGGGGAAGAACCTGTGATATAAATCAAATGTAACAAGTACTAAACACTCCATTTGGCAACTAAGTCATGTGCTGGCAACCAACCAGCCCCTTTTATCCACTATCAGCAGCCTGAAATAAACAAGCCAAATAGCCATTATAAACGCCTGTGCTGGAACAGCAGCAAGGACCTTGTCCTGGGCACAGTGAACATTATCATTCATGTTTTTATTCCCTGCTTTCAAACCATGTATTTCTTATCTAAGGATTGGGGGAAAAAAAGAAAAGAAAAACCACTATACAAACAATTTATTCATATTAAGGGTTTTAAAATGATAAGGAAAAAAAAGAGCTGCACAACTTTAAAAGATAAGTCCATTCAGTATGTTTGCATTTTGCCCCCAGCTTTCTCAGGAAACCATTCCAAATGCATGTTTCTCAACAGGTGACTCAAACAAATTTTTTGATTACTTGATTCATTTTGCATGAATTTGGAATGCTAATACAAGTAATGATATCAGCAGTAGTAATGATGAACAAGCGGAGGAGACGATGACTGTGGAGGTGGCAGCAGCAGCAGCATTTAAACAGGTCTGAATACAAAGCAGACAACTCTACTCACCCTCGATCTGCAAGATACGGGACTTCTTTAATTTTTCCAATGATTGCAATAGATGTAGGCTAACAGAGACAGAGTTTTTTTGTTTTCTTTCTTCTTTTTTTTTTTTTTTTGGCTCTTTTTTCCTATTTATTTTGCCAAGGTATTTTTATAAAAAGGATTTTTCTGCCTTAAGTCAGACATCCCAGAAATTCAGGTTCGAGGTCAAATAATTAACCTTCTCCTGTATCAAAATGCAATGTGTTCCCATCGATTGCCATTATAAGAATTGTAAGAATTCACTGTCCATTTGTGGAAAACACAGAACTCAAAAGGTATTATCATCTGCAGTCAAAACAAAGGCTTCCTCAGTTCCAGACAAGTTTTCATATGGTGACATCACACTGTAAACAAATATATGGGTGAGCAGAACGCAGATGGTGACAAGTCAGAATAACTGACTAGTTAAGTGGAAGAAGCCAGAAGCTGAGAGAACTTAAGAGGACTGATTCATAAGAAAGTGTGATTATTTCAAGTACACCCACACTCAAGGACACATTTGTGTACGCATCTGTATATGTGAGAATCCATGGTGGTTTCACAAAAACTGATCAGGCCCACCCTGCCTCATTCTAGCATCATGCCCATGAATGGTTTCTTTGAGGGACAGACAGCCAGTGAGGAAGGAATTTTGTGCCAAGGCTTTTGGCAAGAAACAAGGAACCAGAGACAGAAGGGCCTGGCAGGTATGTGGCTCCCAGGCTGGTGCAGGAAGTAGAAGCAGCCCCAGCAGCGACCCTGCATGAAATATCCAAAGAGAAGTGAGAGCTCCTGGAAGACATAGGGCTCACATACGGCTGTTTAAGGGCTGAGGGACAAAGGTGTATGGGGCCTGAAAGAAACAGCTCATTGCCTCCTGAATAGACCGTCTTCAGAACAGGACACTCTGGGAGACAAAACCCTGGGTAAGGGAGAGGAAACTTCCTCTCAGGGCACTGTGAGGCACTGCTCTGGAGGTAGGAAATAGAGGCTAAAGAAGATTGGCTGTAAGCCTGTGTGAGAGTCCCTGGGCCCTCCCCAAATAACTAGGAGGACTGAGGCGCTTGATGTTTAAGATTCTGACTGACACCGAGGAGCTCCGGCAGCACAGTGGTTAAACGTTCAGCTGCTAACCAAAATGTTGGCAGACCAAACCCACCAGCCAGTCCCAGGGGGAAAGATGTGGTGGTCTGTGTCTGTCAAGATTGTTGATGTTGTTGTTAAGTGCCATTGAGTCAGCTCTGACTCACAGCCACCCTATGTACAACAAAACGAAACACTGCCAGGCCCTGTGCCAGTCTCACAATGCTTGCTATACCTGAGCCCATCATTGCAGTCACTATGTCAATCCATCTTGTTGAGGGCCTTCCCCTTTTTCGTTGACCCTCTGGTTTACCAAGCATGATATCCTTCTCCAGGGAATGGTCCCTTCTGACAACATGACCAAAGGAGGTGAGACAAAATCTAGCTATTCTTACTTCCAAGGAGTATTCAGGCTGCACTTCTTCCAGGGCAGATTTTTTACTTCTTCTGGAAGTCCACAATACTTTCAGTAGTCTTTCCTAACACCCTGGAAAACCCTGTAGGGCAGTTCTACCCCTTCCTGCCGGGTCACTATGAGTCAGAATGGACTTGATGGCACACACCAACGTACCAGCATGCAGGTACGGGCTGGGAGCTGCAGAACAGTGGAGTGGTGAGACCTGGGCCACTCAGATGGCATATCAATTTATCTCCATCTAAGAACCCAGCAGAAGAGTGTATGGTACCACAGGCAAGACAGACAGAATTGGCTGCACATGTATAGAGCTAGAGACACTCCACTTGAACAAATGCTGCTCAGAGATGGCGACGAGAGAATCCTAAGGGGGAAAAACGAGGTACAGAATAGTGTATGGAATATAGTTATTGTGTAAATAAAATAAATCTATAAATAGATGCATGTATGTGGTTACTTAAATGATTTGTTTTTTCCCAGAAAGAACATTAACAGTGCTTATCTTTGAGGAAAGGATCTAGGGGATAGAAGGTGAGAGGAAGCTTCTGTTTTTCCTTTTGGTACATTTCTGGAGACTTCTGCTTGGATTTCCTAACCATGTGGGTTTTATTACTTTTTTTAATGTCAGCTGGGGTTATCTGGTTGTAAAATTATGGGCCATTTTTAGTTTATATTCATATATGAAAATAATAAATACTAAATATGTGAATCAATAGTAAATGAATAAATCACATAAATGTCTACTGAAAACAAATTTTCCAAGTGGCCAGCAATTAGGGATTATTGGTATATTTAAACCATGGACTATTGTGCAAGTATTTAAAATCATGCTTGCATACAGTTATCAACTAAATGGAAGTGGAAGAACCTCCGGGTGGTGGGGGAGGGCGGGGAAGCAAAATGTAAAATAGTAGGACATTAATTTTGTAGAAAAGATAAAATGCTTATATGAGGCTGGGGAGCAAAGATCACAGGAACCTACTAAAATGTTATTATTTGGCAGTGGGGTGACTAATGATTTTATTCTTTTTGTTATCATTTTCTGCATCTTCTAAATTGTTTCCCTTGAACATAAAAAACAGAGTAAAATAAGATTTTAAACCCAATGATAAAATATGGGATTGGCTCTTCAACAGTGTTTTCAACAGTAAATGTTTGCTTTTGCAAAGGATTCATCCCAGGAGAAAACATCCTTTTGTTACTCCAAAGAGGACTTAATTCTTAAAATGTAAATTTTAGGAGTTTTGGGGGAATATAAAATTCTGTTATCTTTTTAAGAATTATTTCACAGCTTTCAGATATTCACAATTATTATGACATTTACAAGAAAAATAGTTGAAACCATTCTTCAAAGGGTAAGGCTCTACAAGGTTCAAATAGCTGGAACTAGAAAATAAGTTTAAAACCAAGGTTAAGATGGGGAGGTTCGGGGGTGAAAAGTCAGAGGTTTTCGAGAAATTTCACATGAAGCAAAAACAGAATCTACCTTAGCAACCTGCACCATATGCTGGTAATCATAAGTTGATAAAGAAAGAGATGGGACTGAGAACAAGGAGGCTGGAGAGTCCTCTTGTCCTTGACTTTGGATTGAGTTGCCTTTCAATCTTGGCTGGCAGCCATGAAGGAGTCAATTCTGGTGGGGAAAGAGCTGCACCTTCCACAGCAGACTACTGGGGGAAGACGAGGGAAGTAGGGTTCAAGTCCTAGTAGTAACATGGCAGTCCTATCCTCATGGCTTTGGCTGATTGCTGAAGCTCTTGCCTTCACCTTGCTCAAGAGCTAATGGGCCCATTAACTCCAGGCATGCCAAGCCTGCTGAAAGCCAGTGCCCAGGGGGAGCTCTGCTGTGAATGCTCACACAAGTGCCGGCCCCTGTAGGACAGTGGTCTTTGACTAGACAACCACAGCTGCCTGTT